AGTTGTGCTTAGCCTAGGGTTTTGATGTTTGATCACCATCTTAATCTAATTAATCGATTTAAAACTGAAAAGGGAGAAATCGTTCGATCTAGGCTCGTTAGGAGTAAGCTTGTTCGTAATAGTATTGCTTATGTGTTGATTGTTTCAAGAATTACTCGTTTATGTCTATCCTCTTGTTACGAAGAGTTATTGAGGATAGATCTCTAGATGAGTAGTTTTGTGAGGCATTTAACCGAGCTTTTGATTGCTCGTTAAGTGTATTGGGAACCGGAATTGATTGACCCCGATACCCTAGCTCCTTTATAATTATTTGAGTATTGAGTTGCGAACTTGTGATTCCTAGTTTTGTCTAGCCTTTTTAATTAGTTGCTTTTCAATTAGTAGTCGAGAAACAAACCTCCAAACTAGATTTAGAATGTTTAGGATTTTCACTTCTTTTATTTTCCATTTTTGTGTTTGAATAATCGTACAAAATAATCCGGCTGACCTTCCTTGTGAGACGACTCGGTGTTGAATCTTTCGATTCTACTCCGGTAAAAAATATTTACAACAGTTGGCTGAAGGTTCATCTCTATCTCCTCTGACCGATGATCTTGATGAGGTTGTCAACACACTAACTGGTGGAAAACTAAGCAAGTGGCTTGCTCTCGGGCTCTTTCTAAAAAGTGTCACACCTCGAACCTTATACAGAAAATCGGTGCATCAAATTGGAGACCCACTTCGCATAGGCAGTTTGTTACTCCTACCCAGGCACGAGTCATTTTTTGTGTCCTTAGTGGTGTTCCGTTCGACCTTGGATCCGTTATCTTTGACACCGTGGTGTCCTCTGCTGAAATCTCCAAACCACACAAGCTGCTACTTTTCATTTCTACTATCTATGCCATTTTACTCAAGGCGGGAGTAAAAATGGACTCTCATGTGGGTGATCGCTTGTCTCATGCTCTAAAACCTCTTGTCCTTGCTGGGGTAAAGTCTGCTCCTCCTCGTCCATCCCTGGTGAAAGCTTCTGAAGCTCCTTCTCAGCTACGCGGGTTCCTTAACCAACAGGTGGATATTCTCTCTGGACTTGAAAAGAGGCTTGCAGATCAACGCAAGTATTATAAGGAGATTCTGGGTTCAATGAAGTCACGGGCTCCTTTGGTATCTAAATCGAAAAAGGGAGAGATCAAGGGAACAACTGGTGGTAAGGGAGAGAAGAAAAAGGTGCCTACTGGAAGTAAGGGGGAGAAGTCAAAAGTTGTTTCTACCACGGCCTAGAGAAAAGAAAAAGTTGTTGCTGCCAAAGAAAAGGAGAAGCCTCTTGAGTCCGAAGAAGGTTCAAACGCTGAGGAAGATGAGGAAGGCTCAGATGCTGAGGATGAGTAAGATGATGCTGCTTCAGAGGAAGACATTGAAGCTGGATCAGAAGAAGGTTCTGTTGATGAGGAGACGGAGGGGGATGAAGGGTTTGCTTAGACCCTTCTGCTGGAAATTTGATTATGTTTTGTTAAAACTAAAAACTATTTGATCAGTCTGTTGGTCGTCTGAACTTTTTTTTTTTGCTTTGATTTTGATAAACTCTTTATTAAACTGTGAACTGTCTTTTTCATGGGTCGAAATATTCAGGTGGTTAAGTTGTTCATATGAACAACTTATTTGCAATATAATAAGTATACCTTAAGTTAGTGTATATGTTGCAAGAAATGTCTTTTTGAATGCAGGTTCAAAGGATGTGTTTTCGATTTATCTGCCAAAAGGGGAGATTGTAAGTTCTGAAGATTGGCAGTAAATCGATAAACCTTCATCAGTTTTCAAGTTCAGGCGACTCAAAAGTATTTAAGGGAAGTTGACTTGATCACTTTGACTTACTAATTAATTGGGTCTGTTATTGATAATGTTTGTTTTATTATAGTAGGTCTAATAGAAGGAAGTCGGGATTCACCTTCCATATGTGCGAGATTATAATCGCGAATTTGTACCCCAAAAGAAGACCTACCATAAGTAAACGTGACTTTGAGGCAAAGTTTCGTGTAGGACATACCATATGAAGACAAAAGATAAAAGGATGACAAGACGTATAGTGGGGAGTACTTTTATATATTTGTTTTTTTTAGGAAATCTGAGATTACGTTTTTGATGATTTTGAATGACGTGTATTTTTATTTTATTTTGAGTGAAGTGGTCGAAATTGAGAAGTTTATTGTGAGAGATAATACAGATTGAATGGAGGTTCATGCTGTTTTAGTTTGAGGGATTCAAACGAGAAAAACCACAAAGGATTTGTGGTCGGATAAGTAGTAGTGCGATCATTGTTCACGTTGAGTGTAGAGGGAGTCTATACTGTAAACACTTGAAGAATGTATGTGATGTTTGCATTAATGAAAGAGATTCAAAGAGAGAGTGAGACGCTCTCCTGAAGGTTCAATTTTCAGTTATACCGCTTCCGCAATTTCTTGAATCTTCTTTTAATATTGTTCAATTAATTGTGCACGACTCTGGGTACTTGGGATACAAGTATCAAACTTCAAAGGGCTCAAAGCTCATCAAACAAAGAGCTCAAAGCTCAATTAAGCGAAGAGCTCTGAGCTCACTGATGTCAATAATTCAAAATGCATTCCTACGCAAAAACGAGAACCAAATTACCCAATGAAGCCGCTCGGGCCCCATCTAATAGTAATTCATGAAAATTGCCCGCTCGGTCAAAACCGACTCAACTCATCGAAGAACAAAGCGTGATTGTCATAAATCCGCTAGACCAAAGCCCCGCTTGTCCAAAGCCTAAAATGACAAAAGAAACGCTCAAGGATCCCAAAGCACCTTAAATTTACCTATTAACTCGTAATAAAATCAATGTCTCGCATAAAACATTTCAAAGTGACTCCCACAATAGGGAAATAATGAGTAGAAAACGACAAGACGATGATTCGAGTAACCAAAGTTACTCGACAAGATTAAGTAAGTCCATGAGGCATACAAAGTAAAAAAGCCGCGTGCTAGAACCATTCGAGGAAACTGACAAGATAAAGAGGTGAACTTAAATAACTAAAAAATTATTAGTCACGCGTGCATCGACATTTTTACGATTTCACCAAAAACTCTCACTTCGCAGTTCTTCTTACGCGATAAAAAAAAAGTTCAAAACTCAAAGAATCACTAGGCCAAAACATTACCAAATTGTGAGAAGTAACGCAACTTCAGAACCGTTCAATCAAGAACATGTCCTAAAATTGGGGGCATCCTGTTATTATCCAATCTGGCTCCGATTAATCAAAGGATAAATAAAATAAAAAATTGTCGCAGGTAACCAAGGAGCCGAAAATACATAATAAATAAATGTGCAATAAAAACAGACACTCCAAGTTGATCGTCTAAAGGCCGACCGGATCCCCCAGATGACAAGTCCACCCGCTATGGAGCTGGGTAGAATTCGAGGTGATCAACCGGCACGAATATCCTAAATAAGCCGCCTCCAGAAAGTTGCCACAATTGCCGAAAAGATGGACTTAATGGGAACCGTCAAGAGTCAAAAGCGGGTCCCACGATAACCATCTCATATTAAATAATGATGTACTATTATTTATTTATTTACTCTCACTTGTACACAAGGGGCCATTTACACACACACACACACACACATATATATATATATATATATATATATATAGCCTTAAAAGAAAGAGGATGATTGTTCAGTCCTCTCCTCCTAGCAACAAAAAAAGAGAGGAATACTCTCTCAAAAAGAAAAGAGAAAAAACTCATTTTATCATCTTGTTCTTCAACTTCCTACAAACACAACGATTTTTTTAAATAAATTAATCTATTTTAATGTCATAGTAAAATCTCTTAAAATCACATAACTAATTGTTATAATAAATTTAATATTTTTCTAGTAATTTATTGGTCATGATATTCACTCAAAATTATAAAATTTACATTATTTATTGCATTTTATGTACTCAATACGGTGATTCATATGCAATCAAATCGTTATTTACTATTTATTCGAACCAATGATCAAATTTTAAAACATAATGCCATTAACTAACTTATGCTTTTAATATTATATTCATAAATATACGTTTAAAATACAATACCATTATCTAACTTATAAATTTAATATTATATGCATACAAATAATTTATATTATTTTATTACATCTGTGCAAATGCAAATGGTCGAATACTAGTTCATTAATAAAACTGACTTTTAAGAAAATCTTAAAAAAATCACATAATTACGACAAATAAAATAACAGGACACATTTTTAAACTTCTTCAAAATCTTAATAAAATCACATATTTCTGCTGTGAAGTCAACAATTGGCTCCATAGTGGAGCCAACCTTTTATATACAACGAAAAAATTATAACATATAAATAAAATTATTAGTATTATTAAAGTATTCAAAAAATATTGTATGATTTACTTGTCGTATATAGAATGTTGGCTCCACCATGAAGCTAACTGTTGGCTTCATAACAAACCATAGTTACTGATTAATGAACAAAAACATAGTTACAGATTAATGAACAAATGGTGTTTGGACTATCAACCATTTTGTTGATGATAAGCATAGATGTGGAGAATTTTTTTGTTTTTCCCAAGTACAAAACCCACACATTCAAAAACTTTGATAACAAGAGTTTTTTTCACATATCAGACTAAATTTGAATCTCCTAACATAGAATATATCTCAACCTTTTAAATTTTGTAGGGGTGAATAAAAATGTTAAGAGAGAGTGTAATGGCTAAAGAGATAATTCAGGCCCCTTCATAATTACCCAAACTTTTGGGGCAATTTTGGCAACCAACCCTACATTTCAACCAACCCCACTGAACCAATATATTATTTTTTCTGACAGCACCATTTTGCCAATCCCACCCACAACCTCAGAGAGAGAGAGAGAGAGAGAGAGAGAGAGAGAGAGAGAGTTACTTGCACCAAAAGCTCAACTAGTAGAATCTTAGGTCTAACCTATGTTAAAGAAAATGGAGGGACGGTGAACATGTGAGGCGGCGGCAATGGAGGTGGCAACCCAGTCAAACGGCGTCGTATGGGACAGTATCTTGGCGCAAACGAAGGTGGCCCAAGAAAAGGGCTGCGACCCATTGCTGTGGTCAATCCAAGTTTCCTCAAACTTGAGCTCTGTTGGGATCGGTTTGCCTTGTGTTGAGCTATCCAATCATTTGGTCTCTCACATTTGCTGGGAAAACAATGTGCCCATTGCTTGGAAGTTCTTGGAGAAAGCTATGGTTCTCAAGATTGTGCCACCCTTGCTTGTTCTTGGCTTGCTCTCAACAAGGTCTTTCTTTCTAGCCAACTTTTTTTTTTCTTTTATTGGTAACTTTACTTTTTTTTTTTGGGTTTTGGTGTGTGTGTGTGTGTGTGTGTGTGTTGGGGGTTCTGTTACATTGATCTTGTGAACAAGTTCCAATCTTAACTACTGTTTGTTCTTTAAAATCTGTTGTGTTTGTTTCTGTTCTTCATACATATATGTGGTTTTTTGTTATTAGATTTTTTCCTTCTCTTCTTTTATTTGGAAGATTGAAAAAAAAAAATATGAAGTTTGGTCACAAGTAATTGGTACAGGTTGTTGAGTTGTAATGGCAGCTGGATTTCACTAGTTCTGATTGACTGCATTTCTATGGCGTGTGATTGACCTTTTATGGTTTGTTACGGGATGTTTAACTCGACTGACTATGTCATAATTTCTCGTCATGTACCTGTTTTATATTTTCTCCTAATAATTCCCTCAAGTATGGAATGACAAGGATTTGTTCTGTTACTTTGCTCTTTATTCTATTCTTTGTGTGTGTGTGTGTGTGTTAACAATAGGATTTTGAATTTGAAATTAAACAATTGTTTGTTTGTGTTATATGTAAATTTCTCTCGTACTCTTGTTACATTCTGAGAGTCACAATCTTATTTATTACTTACAAGTGTCAGCATTTCACCGTATTAGGGGGCATTATTTCCGAGCTCAGTGTTAGTTGCATTAAGACGCATTCTAAGCCAAATCAATATTGTACTTGGGATACTCATGTTAATTTTCATTAATTGTGGCATTTGATTAGCTTTATTTTCTCTATTATCTACGACTCAGGGTAGTTCCATACCGGCGTTCATGTCCAGCAGCATTTAGGCTATATATGGAGCTCCTTAACCGACATGCTTTCTCTCTGAAGGTGTCAATGAACTTGCCAAACTATCAGAAGTGAGTATTTTGATGTTCATCAGCATTTTTTCTTCTTTTGCCAATTATATTTTCTGTCTTCATGAGTAAAGTTTTTACCATTGCTGGAGTTAACCATTCTACTATTCACATGCTAATTGGCGCTTCAATTGCTAATTACTAAAACAGTGGGTAATCGATTTTCTAAGATACAAAAAGGGGAATAGAGAGAAAGAAAGTAAAATTTTCCACTGCTATTATAAAAGTATATAGGATCTATCCCCCATGATGTAAATATGTGACTGTAATTTCTACTCTTTTGTTATCCAAAGTGAAAGCACAGTTACCTCATCCTACCCAACTAAATATTGATATATTTTGACTACCCGTTGATTTCATTTGCCTTGCTGCCAATGTTTGTACTTGCATTTATTTTCTTGATATTGTTCTGCATACGCTAACACGTTATACCTTAGTTAACATATTGATCTTCATGCAGGACCATGAACGTGTTAGACAAAATTCTTGGTTTGTCTCAGAAATTCGGCATTCAAGTGAATGAATCTGGTGCTCTCTTAGTCCTTTACGTCTTTTCAATCGTTTGGCAGCTGGTTGATGCAGCACTTGATGATGAAGAACTACTTCAACTTACGGATAATGACCCTAAGTGGCCTGTTAAGCCTCAAGACATGGATGTAGATGGCAGTAATATTTACGGAGAAAAGAGGAGTGAATATAGCAAGAGATTGCAAACTTTTAATACCGTCATGGCCATTGAGTTGATTGGGCAATTTTTGCAGAACAAAGTAACTTCTGGGATTCTTTTCATGGCTCGCCAAAACATGTCAGATCCAGAGTCCTTTTTTGAGTGTCCTATATATTTATATATATATTGCATTATATATTGCATTGTTTATAGATGTTTCCTCGGAGTATTCATTAATAAATCCTGTATTTATTAGGATTTATTTTGAGTAAACCTGAAAATCAATGTCTTGATGCCTTGTCATCTATCTTTATTAAGAGTCAATTTATTCGTTTAATATTTTGGACATTTTGGTTAATGATAAGCTTCTGATCAGGAATGCAGTTTGGGAAAGCTTTAATCAGCGAATGCAGCTGCTTTTAGAGAATTCATCAGCTTTGCGCAACATGAATTTTACAACTCAGGAAATTCTCAGGCAGTTGATTTCGAATAATCACAAAACTAAGTCTCGGCATTTTCAAGCTACTCTACCGCAAGAGTTTGATTCTGTATTAGAATCGAGACCTCTTGTTCATTCAGCTGGTCTCTGTCTGGGGACTAGTATGTCGGCCCTTTGGCTGCCTCTAGACATGCTGCTAGAGGATGCAATGGATGGTTCACAAGTCAATGCAACAAGTGCCGTGGAAATTATTACTGGTATCAAGAAATCTTTTTGCAGCCCGTAAAAATTGTCACACAACAAATTAAATAATATGTATGGGACCTTTTAGTATTGGCTTCGATTTTTTATTTATTTATTTATTTATTTATTTTTTTGAAGGTTTAGTGAAGTCCCTTAAAGCAATCAATGCTGCATCGTGGCATGAGGTGTTTCTTGGGCTTTGGATGGCTGCTCTACGCCTCGTTCAGAGAGTGAGTTTAAACGTGGATACTTACTCTTAACTCTTAAGGCCTAAACATATTTGGATCTTATTTATTCTAATAATTTTGCTCAGATATGTTCAGCCAACAGCTACAATTGTTTGACTATTTTGATTGTTATGTTTAATTTTCTTTTTTCTTTTTGCTTTTCTTTTTCCCTATTCGCTCAGTCGAAAAATTGCTAAAAGATACTTAACACTGATAATTACTGATATCCACGAGGCGTGGGCTAATTACCACAGAATTAGAAACGTCCTTCAAAAAATTATTATCACCCTCCATGATACTTTTATAAACACGGATTCTTGGGTGAGGAGCCTAACCATAAGGTGCCATACTCCATGAACAAAATGTCATACTTTATTATACTTTTGTTTATAATGTTTATTAAAGTACGACGTTTTGTAATCAACGTATGTATATTTGTTAAAAGAGTATGCCGGAGTAACACTAGACCTACCTTTTTATAAATATCATGTAGGGTTTTGAAATGTCTTTTACTTGTGAAGAAGAATACGTAAGATATAATCAAACCTCAAAACTTTTTTTGTAGTAATTTTTTCCCTTTTTACTGTCAGGAGAGGGATCCTATTGAGGGACCCTTACCTCGGCTGGACACTCGTCTGAGCATGTTACTGTCAATTACGACCCTCGTGGCTGTGGATCTCATCGAGGAAGAGGAATGTATTTCGACGGATAAGATTGAGTATGATTCTGGGATTGAACATCGCGTTCCCGGCAAAAGGCGCATGGATTTGATGTTCAGTGTCCAGAATCTGCATGGCTACCAGAGCTTGCTGGCCCCACCTCAGACGGTCATATCCGCTGCCAATCAGGCGGCTACTAAAGCAATGATGTTTGTGTCGGGCATCAATGTTGGTAATTCTTACTTTGAGTGCATAAGCTCGATGGATATGCCGATTAACTGCTGTAAGTGATACACTTTTGCATCTTGTTTGAGGAACAAAAGTGCCTGTATGCATGTTACAGCTCCTAACTTGAAGTGACACTATGCATTTGCATTCATCTGCTAGTTGGACTTTTGGTCAATGCTTTGGAGATTACAGAATTAAGTTCTGTTGAGAATCTCAAGAGATAACCTACGAAAACAAACCACTTGCATGCAGCTGGTAGTTGTCACTAAGAAAATGGTTTTTCGATCACTATAATGCTCCATTATACCAGCAAGTTTGGCAACTGTAGAAAATCTTTTTTTTTTTTTTTAA